CAAACCCGGACCCAGTCAAACTGCAACAAAAAAATAGCCAGGCATTGTGGTGGGCACCTGTAGTTCCAGCTACTAGGGAGGCTGAGGCAAGAGAATTGCCTAAGCCCAAGAGCTAGACGTTGCTGTGAGCTATGACACCACAGCACTCTACCAAGGGCAACAAAGTGAGACACTGTCTCTAAAAAAAAAGAAAAATGTTAAACTAGAAGAAACATCTTTGGGTTAAAAAATTCTCAAACATTCCTAAAATCAAAAGTGCTTGATGAGATCCTCTGGACACTATTTGAAAAACTTTTTGAGGCCAGGCCTGGTGGCTCATGCCTGTAATCTCAGCATTCTGGAAGGCCAAGGCAGGTAGGTTGCCTGAGCTCTGGAGTTCAAGACCAGTCTGAGCAAGAGTGAGACCCCATCTCTAAAAATAGGTGGGCTTTTTGGTGGGCATCTGTAGTCCCAGCTACTTGGGAGGCTGAGGCAAAAGAATTGCTTGAGTCCAAGAGTTTGAGGTTGCTGTGAGCTATGATGTCACAGCACTCTACCAAGGGCGAGAAAGTGAGACTGTCTCAAACAAAAAAAATTGTTATATGGCAATATTTTAAGAAGAGAAGTTATTTTGGTGTTGCATATAATTATAAATAAATTAAACCTTTTCTGAGAGAGGGAAAACTTCTCTAGTAGATGAAGATAGCATCCTGAGTCATCTTGTTCAGGTCACATATTTGTGACTAGAGCATCGACATCTTCTACGAGTAACTTTCAAACTGCTAATTTGGACTCTTTCAAGAACCCTTATAAATAAGTCTACAACTTGGGGTCATAACTAATAACAGTTAATACTTAAATTTTACTAGGTGTTTAAGAGTTTTACATAGATTAACTATTCAGTCCTCACAATAATATTATGAAATAAATACCACATTATTATCTTCACTTCACATATAGAGAAACTAGAGAGTTTAGTATAGTCAAGATCACATGGAAATTCAGAGGAGGAGCCAGGTTTCAAAAACACAGACAGTTTAACTTCTGGAAGTCCATACTCTTTTTTTTTTTTCTTTTTTTTTTTTTTGAGACAGAGCCTCAAGCTGTCCCCCTGGGCGGAGTGCCGTGGCATTACAGCTCACAGCAACCTCCA